GACTCTTTCTTATAGTATGAAATTTCCAAAGGCTAAATCAAGACTAGGACAAAGGTTATGGGACTTCTGAGTGGAGCCAACAGTCATACAAAGGGCACCTGAGTTAGCCAAAGGTCATAACCTAATCAAGACTAGGACAGAGGTTTCCTTAAGCTTTGCTGGATTGACAGAAAATGAGACACAGAGAGACTGGACAATGCTCTGGTCATGCCAGTGAACCTCTTCCACAGTCAGTACCTGGGAGTGAGTCTCCCCTCTACAGCCACTCTGGCTAATATCCTGTCCACAAACCAGTAACCTGAAGTCAGAGAACACAACTGGTGTGTTTCACACATGGTGTGGTTCGTGGTGTGACTCCCTGGTTTCTAGTCACGGCTTCTCCACTGCCTCTTCTAGCATGGACAGTGTTGATTCACCTGGCTTATTCACAAATTGTGGATCCATTCCTTCTTGGTTTGGAGGTCATTTATGGCTATGAAGTAATGCTCAAACTCTTTTGAAAGCTAATTTGGGTGATCATGCACCAGCTTGGAGAAAGAAAACTCTGGTTTAGTCTCAAAAATCTTTGCTAATTTTGAAATGCCTGAAGTTCCGTTGTTCACTCACTGCCCTCATAATTCCAATTTGCCAGTTAGACACAGTTGTCATTCTTCCTTAAAGTGAGACGGAGTGTGTTGAGCAGGTTGAATGTGTCACACGAGTAAGCAAGTTTTGCAACTTATTCTGTGTCACTGAAATGTCCTGCAAGTGATAACTATTTTTCTACAAGAGATCTCTGGCATTGCTCTGCCCAGGCAAATTCTGGCCAGTTATCTCTTTTCATCTTCTCACTTCTGTGTACAGGAAGAGACATGCATGCTCAGTATCCATCTCCTCTCTGAGATCCACAAACAGATGTGAGTTAAGAATATGTACTTTCTTTTTTTATTATCACCATCTTTTTATTTTAAAGAGAATAAAACCAAACAAAACAATAAAGCAAATCAAGACAAACAATGAAAGTGATACAGGACTTCAAAACAAGGTAATAGGAAATCAACAATGACTACCATAATGCATCTTCAAAATAGCTGCTCATGCCATCACATACTAAAATCAAACAAAACAGAACAGAATAAAAACAATGAAAGCAATATAAGACTTCCAAGCAAGATAATAGGAAATCAACAATGTTATAATATATCTTGGTATTATCAAAATAGCTGCCCATGCCATCAGATATAATAAAATCAAACAAAGCAAAACAATAAAATCAAGCCAAACAAAATAATGAAAGTCATACAAACTTTAAAACAAGATAATAGGGAATTAATAATGGCTACCACCTTCAGAAGAAAATCCCCCATAATTGCTGTATTTCTGTGCATCCTTTTTCTAACAGGCTGTGGACTAGTACTTGTCTGTGGCTTGAGGGTTGATGATAATCTACTGTTTTATATTTAATTTTTTATGGTTATTTTTTTAAATTTTATTTTGAAAGTATACAACAGAACAAGTCAGAATAAAGCCAACTAAGATCATACAGTGAAATTGGTACAGAACTTCACAGCAGGCTACCAGGATAACAGTAATAGGTATCACAGTATATTTTGTTATCTTTATAATAGTTGTTCTTTCAATCACGTATATCAAAATGAGATGAAAGATAGAACACTATAGAACTTATCAAAACAGAATATTGAATAGAGCAGTACCATTTAATCAGAAAAGAACAAAACAGTTCTTTTGTTTGCCTTCAAAGAAATGGTAGAAGGAAGTTCCCCTGATTTGCTATGGTCAACCTCCCAAGAGATGCTCAGATTTCTGGTTCCCATTTGCTAATGGGCAGGGCCGGGGGGAGGGGGGTGCGGGAGGAGAAGGAGGATAGGGGAAGTGGGATGTTTGACTCTAGGCCATTTAGCAGTAGGTTCACTATTGCTTAGCAGGGAGGCAGGATGGTCATTGTTTCACAGTGTCCTTAGTTCCAACATGGCACGGATCTCAGGAGACTGCTGGTTCTCCCCCTGGAAGGGCTGCAGTCTGCCCCACTGCCTCCCCTTACCAGGGAGGGGAGGTGCTTGCTTGGTTCCCAGGGTCCTAGGTTCCAACATGGCGCAGATCCAGGAGACACTGCTGGTTCTCCCCCTGGAAGGGCTGCAGTCCACTCATATTTAATATTTTTGAGACAGGCTCTCTGTGTATCTCTGGTTGGCCTTAAAATCACAGCATTTCTCCTGCCTCAAACTCCTGAGTATTAGGATTTTAGGCATGAGCCATCATGGCTGTATTTGTTAATTCTAAGAAAAAGTATAGAAACTATTTAATTTTGTACATAATTAAAAGGGATGAATTGTAACTTGCTATGTCCACAGGCATTTTATCATATAATTAGCATTTATGTGGCACACAATCACAAAAGCATGTGCATGTTGCTGGTAAGTGCCATCCAACAGAAACGCAGGGATCTTCAGTGTGAGAAGCAGTGCATCAAACCTTTTTAAGTGTGTGGCAAATTTCAACTATTTCAAAACATTTTTTACAATCAATTTCAGTATGAGGCAAGTGAGTGTGAAATGTGTTCTGTGTTTTGACTATTTATCAGTCAATTTCGTGGAGTTACTTTGGATTACTTTGAGTCTATGGATATGATCCTGAGACCAAGGTTCAGAATTCTGAATAAAACCCAGTTCTCCTCTTGTGGAAATAAAAGTATAATCAAGTTACAATGTTAATGAGATATTGATTCTGTTTTTTGACCTTGATGGAATTGTGTGACAGATTTGTACCCAGGACCAACTGTGATGAACTCTGAATAGTCTAAGAGCTTATTAGAGCATTTTAAAAATGATGTTCACAGGAAGCCTGAGAAGGGGCAAACCGTTTCATCTTTCTGTTAAATAAAACATTGCAGAGTGCCCTCATCCACCTTATTGACTGGATCTGTTATGTAATAAAACTCCCATGGGAAACTGTAGCATAGGGGGAAAAGCCTCCCATAATCCGTACTGCTCAGACCATTATAAACAATTGCACTATTAAAGGGGTGATTTAGAAATTTTGGTACAGTGCTCAGAAATGCAAACATGAAAAAAAAAAAAAAACAAAAAACAAAAGAAACACACACATGGCCAGAGTTGGGCAACAGTGCATAGAATTGGTTGTGCAATCCTCTACGCTAAATGGGAAACAATTAGAATTAGAATTATTGGGTCTGAGGCATGTAACAGGATAATGACAAGGCCGAGTTCAGTCAGGGCAATTTTATGATTTATCTAAACCATACCTCAAAATAAAAGATAAAAAAGGCAGGGAATATAGCTCAGTGTGAAGGCCGTGGGTTCCTTCCTCCGCACTACCAAGGAGAAAAGAAAAAGTGAAAAAAGAGAGGGAGGCAAGGAGAGAGGGAGACAGAGAGGAATAGGGGAAAAGGCGGGGGGGGGGGGGGGAGGAGGAGAGCAAGACAGAAGGAGAGAGGAGGGGGCGGGAGAGAACAATTTACCTGGATTGGAGACCTAGTTTCAGACTTGGAGAAAGTCATGCAAAATAAGGAAATAAGCTTCCACCATTGTTAGTGTGGTGTTTGCATTAGTTAAGATCCTCTTTGAAAATAAAGAGCACTTCAAGAGGAAAACTACCTGAACTTATGCTAAGTAAAAAATCACGAGCCAAGACAAATATTGTACAATATGCAGGAGCTAAAAAGAAATTGGAGCAGTGCTGGCAAAACCTTTAGGGACTGAGTGGCCAAACTGCACCCAAAACTCGTTTATCACAAAGTGCCAGTATTGCAATGAAACCAGGATACTGAAGTTTTAGGTTAGAAAACAAAGCTGACTCATACTTTAAAATCTTTTGTCTTAAAATAATAGTACATGTGCCTCTGTCTTCTGCCACCCTTAGTGTGCTCGGCCACCTGCCTGGTGCTGAAGAATGCCTGCGTCTGCCTGCAGCTGTCTCCTGATAGCCAAATGTCACTCTTAGAATAAAGATGGGAATTGGGACTGTGGAGACCGTGTGTGTGGAAGGGAACTATGGGAAGGGAAATGCAGTGTCTGCTGGCGGGAACCCGAGTTGTACCCGAGTTGAGGAAAGAAAATAAGATGAAAGCACAGCTCCTTAGATTTGAGTAAAGGGAACCCCAGAAAAACCAGGGTCAGACCCCATCATGGAATAGAGCACTGGGAGAGGCAGATAGGTCCTGGGTTTGTCTCATTAAACAATGCAAAGCATTCTTTTTGAGGTGGCCTTTGCATCCAACTTCCTTGCATAACAAGATTACTTTCTTGCCTCAAGCCAGGCCCTAAACAACCATTTTGGAGGCCAAGGGGAGGTAGAGTGAAGACTGGATGAGGGCTGGAAGTCAGAAAAACACCAGCCCAAGGGTCTGAATATTAGATTCCCTGATTGGAAATGTGGGACTGTCTCTCGAGGTCATCAGATAGATAATGTGCTGCAGAGGGATGTCAGCTGTGGTGCCGGAGTCCAGTTCTTCCGCATGGTAGATAAGTTCAACCAGGTGACTGTCAGCCTTGCTCAGCTTGTTGCCAACCAGGTTTTCTTTTCCACAGCTCTTTAACACCTACAGAAATGAAAAATCAGACCAAGAGAAAGAACTTCACTAGAGCCTGGAGAGGATGCTTTTTCTGGTAGGGAGTGGGGTGAATCTACCATTGCCACCCGTGACCACATCGTTTGTTGCAAAGAGCAACCAGCAGGGTGAACTTTTCTCAGGAAGGTTTGTGTTTTGACACTTGAAATGTTTATTGGTAGGCATACACCTGGGGCCCAAAATATGAGAAATGTTTTCATTGTCCTATTGTCCATAATGAAAAATGTTTTCATTTTGGAGCCTTGGCCAATCACTGTGCTGATTCGCCTTGATTCTAGCCAAATAGAGGTTATTTATATCTACTTCCAACCACAGCTTCTCCTTCCTACAAGTATCACCCCTGCTATCATTCTCAAACTGTGATCTGGAAGCTCGTCCCACAGAAAACCAATGTCTGCACCACAGGTGTGGGAGGAAGACTTTATTCAGTGGTCACAGATACGAGGAGAGGATGCTTTCCTCACAAATCAGTTGTTCCACTCCACGGAGCTGAGGGATGAGGAAGGGCAAAGGTAGACTAATAAAGAGGGAAGAATGCTCATGTCTTTTCTTGGAACAGGCAGAGATCTTCAAAACCTGGAGTCCCGCCTCTTTTTCTCCCTCTGAGGTTTGATTCGGGTTGTGGTGGCTGGTAGGCATCTCTGGCCTTGAAGGGAGAGGAGTGAGGCTAAGCAAGTCTGTGGCAAGTTTCCCTGAGGTATAGTTTTGGACAAACATTTTTCAAATGTTCAGCATGTCCACACGTACGGTTGAGTAGAATCTGATCCAAAGGTTAAGGCAGCAAAGGAGCCAGAATAACGTGAAACGAAGAAGCAAGAGCTTTTTGTTGTTGCTGCTGTTGTTCAGTCACTCTGGAAATCTGCAAGCCCCAGTAAACAGTCCCTGCTGTCAAGAGGAGCAGGCTTCATGTTCCTGAAAAAAGTACCAGGTAACTCTTAGCATCTTAATCCACATACTAGAGATGTTATCTACAGTAAAACTACTGCTAGACTAATAATGTGTGGAGAGATGTGAGCTCCAAAATCAGTGTTTGTAGGTCAGCTAAAAGCAGGTAAAGAGAAATATTTAGATTTTCCCTAGGTGACAATACCAGATTAGGGTACCCTGTACAGTGGTTACTTAGGGTGTCTCTATAGGAAGACAGAAGCTTGGAAAGAGACAACACTTAGGACCCATGGACTGTCCCAACCCCACCCCAGGCACCAGAGACTTGCCTGATTGGATTCTGTGGTGCAGAAAACGTGGCAGGCCATCTGCTACTCAGGCTCATTGGGCTGTGCTTTGATCAAACACTAAATATGGGGAAACTAAAGGAAGTTTCCCCAAATTTGGGAGATGGGTTAGAAAGAGAGAAGAAGAAGGCAAAGGTCTGGTGGATCTCCAGAGACGATATCTTGCATCTCCTTTGGCTGAGCCAGTGAAGGGGGATCACAGAACCCCAAGCCTATGTTGTTTTTTCCTAAGAATTGCCCAGAAACCTGCAAGACCTCAGCGTTTTCTCATGCCCATCATGGAGAGTGAGCAAGAGAAAGATAGGCAGAAGTGCAGGAACAGCCTTTGGAAATGACCAATGTTATCTGTATGCAAAGAGACCAGCAGCCTGCCTTTTCATGCAGCCAAGGGAAAAGGGACAGACAAGCCAGAGCAGCACATGAAACAGGCTTCCTGTCAGAAGAACGGCAAGGTAGTGACTATGCTGACTGCTACCCTGGCTACACCTACGAGGACATACAGCAAAGGCCCAAGATGACAGCACTAGAGGGAGTCTAGACATCATCAGATCCAGCCTGAGGCTGGAAGGCAGAGAGGCCAGAAAGAAAAATTTAAAAATAAATGTGTTAGTTTTGTGCAGGAGAGGGACAGTGACACAGACTATATAGTATAATTGAATTCCTGGTTCATATAACAAAATGTCTTGGTATAGGTCATTATACCAATACAATCCAAATATAAAAAAATCTTTCTTTTAGTACCAGGGATTGAACTCACAACCTCACACTTACCAGGCAAGTCCTTAAACTGCTGGGCTGAATTTCTACCCCTGATAGGAACAAGTCTTAAGTAGCTATAAACACAAGAGAGACATTTCCAGATTCTAGAAATGAAAAGTTAAGCAAAAGCCAGAGTGGTAAGCGCAATTGAAACTAATGGTTTATTAGGTACCAAACCTAGAAATAGACTTCACTGGCTAGGGAAGATGTGTTAATATCCACGTGGGATTGGAGATAAAGCTAATAGAAGTTGAGAGCTAAACAGCTCGCTGATGAGAGATGGAAGTCACCGCCTGATGAACTATTTCATCTACAGAACAGAGGAAACCTGTCAACAGCCAGTTGGTGGGAAGAAGTGAAGTTTGGCATATTCTGAGTTAACATTATGTGTCATGGGAGAAATGGAAGTTGAAAACAAAGAGTCCTGATTAGTGAAAATGGAAGATCCTTCCAGGCATCTGCACAAACTAGTCCCCAGAGGATGTGGTCTTTCTTCATGTTATCAGCCCTGTTCTCTAACTTGTTAGCTAACAAGGTGAGCTAGACTACAAAGGCAGGAATGTGTTCAAGTATTGGCAGAGATATTAATTGGCAAGTGGTTGGTATTTTTCTTTTAACCCCTGATGCAGCAAATCAAGGAAACCTTGTAAGCTAAATGTTACAAACTCCCAGAAGTAGGTCTTAAACTGGATACTCCTAAGAGCCTGTCTGTAAAAAGGAATCAGATAGATCAGAGAGTCCCAAAATCTTAAGGACTACTCGATTGCCTGAAGAGAAAAATTCTTGTTGCTCTACAGCTAGAAACTAGTAAGTTTAGTCTCTAGCTGTAGTATGTCTCTGAGTGCATGTGTGCATGCACACACGTATGTGGGGTGTGTGTGTTTATACAGGCATTCACTGGGATTGGCCAAGACCTAGTGACAAGAGAAGTAGGATTTTTCCTCTCTCCTTTATGTTGCAAAAGATCACTGCAAAAGGAGAAATATTCTTTTTTTTTAATCCTGCTATTTTTTAATTTAGTTTTCCCTTAATTGAAAAAAAATAAGAAAAAATAGATTAATTTTTAAAAGGGTGGGATTGAGGTAAAAGAGGTCATTGTATTAGGACAACACAGGTCAGAACCGAACAATTTAAGCATCATTGTGTTTCACCCCCAGATAATCTAACATAATAGTAGTCACCATAGTGCTTCCTTCCTTGAATTATTTGGGTATAACATCATATACTATAGCATCAAGCATATCAAGTCAGTCTGAAGCTATTCAAGAGAATGAAGAAATTACAGGGTATTTAGAAGCAGTTAACAGAAAATGAACAATGGTTTCTATATTATCTCTTTGCCTATAAAAAATTTTGTTTATACTATCGCATATAGTAAAATATAGTAAGATATCACATGTTAAAATCAGTGGAAACAAGTGTACAACAGCTTGATGGGACTTCAAAACAAGATGATATTAAATCAGCACTAGCTTTTATGATGTGTTGTTTTCTTCAGAATAGCTATTTGTACTATCACCAATACTAAAATCGAACAACCCAGGTTAAAACCATTGCAATTAATGAGTGATAACATTATATGGATTCAAACTAATATGATTGGGAATCATGATTGCCACATACTTTTATGTATTCTTATCATTTCTTACACTAGGGAAACTATTCGGTATTTATACATGTGAGTTTGATTTATTTCACTTATGAGTATGGTCTCAAGCTGCGTCCATTTATTTATAAATATCTCAATGTAATCATTCTTTACAGCTGAGTAGTACTCCATTATATAGAAATACCACAACTTTTTTATCCATTCCTCAGTTGATGGACACGTAGGTTGTTTCCAAGATCTGGCTATTACAAATTGTGCTGCTATAAACATGGGTGCACATATATCACATATATCATGTATGATGCTTTCAGTTCTTCTGGGAATATGCCTAGAAGTGGAATAGCTGGGTCAAATGGGGCTTCCAGTCCCAGCTTTTTGAGAAATTGGAGAAATATTCTTACAGCACCAAGAACAGCAGAAAAATTAACACTTCCATCCTAGTTGCTCTGAAAATTATGTCACACTTAGCTTTGAATGCCCTTTCCTAAGAAATCATAGTACCAGGGGATTCTGTGCTGCGACTGACTTAAGACTGGCCATGCCTTGACCTCAGAGGCACTTGTGAAGACAGCAACAGGGTAACTTCTAACAATATGTAGTAAGAAGAAAATTCCTTACATTATTATAAATATTATTGAGTAGAGCAACAGTTGAAACCTGACACTCTCATAGCTGAACATAAATTTTGAAAAATAGTTGAAAGGAAAGAGGAAGAGAGGAAAGAAAGAAGAAAGGGAGGAAGAGAAGGAAAAGAAATTATAAACCAATCTCATATAGAAGTACAAAGGCAGACCTATACACTGGCTCACACTCTGGGAGGCTGCAGCAGGAGGATACCATGTTAAAGCCCACCCTGAACAATTTAGTGACTTAACAAGACCCTGTCTCAAAATATGAATAAAGGGCTGGGGATGTAATTCAGGGCAAAGCCTAGATTCAATCCCCAATAACACTCACACAGACACATATGTATACCAATTATATGATAAAAGACATTTGCACATTAGCGCTCTCTCTCTCTCTCTCTCTCTCTCTCTCTCTCTCTCTCTCTCTCTTTCTCTTGCTCTCTCTGTCTTTCTCTCTTTGTGCTTTCTGACCGCCACTAAGTGAGTAGCTTATTTGCATATTCATAGGCATAAGCAAGGACTTTTGGAACAGAATCCTAATGGTACAAGAACTAATACTGAGAATTACCAAATGTGAATTTATCAAATTAAAAACCTTTTGTACAGCAAAGGAAACAGCCAACAGAGTGAAGAGATAACCTATAGAGTGGCCCACAGAAAAAAATTTTCCCATCTATTTCTTGGACAGAGGACTAACATCTAGAAAATATAATGAACTCAAAACTTTAGACTTCGCAAAATAAAAGTCTCAGTGAAAAAATGAGCAAATGTCTCTTGGAAAATCTCTTGTCAGTTCATACAAAAGGGACCTAGCATCTGTGTGAGAGATTTCCTAGATTGGAAGTCTTTAGAGATTTTACTTTAGATAGAAGAATTAAAAGAAAGTTAAAAGATGAAGTCTTGACCTGTGAGGAGCAATTCTTGTTGCTTAGCCCTACCCATATCAAGTTGTTTTCTGAAGCTAGAGAATTACACCTTCTCCATCATTTCATGAGTCCATGGGACTTCAGCCTGAACTCTTAGTTTTAAAGAAAGAAGCACACAATAAATGCAAACTACAGTGCTTTTCCAGTTTGTGTTCTTTTTATAAATGAAAACACTGGTTTTTAATAATAATCAAACTTTGTGAGTCATATTCCAAACCTCTGGAAGGATAAGTGTGATATAAGAAGAGGAAGTAGAGACAATGCCTCAAGCAGCCAAGATTTCCTATTCTCTATTCCATTTTGAATGAAGAACTTGGACAACATTATGCAAGCCTTTAAGTTTTCTGTGACTAAAATCTGATTGTTATAGACCCCTCTATTGACTTTCTGGCTCAGATCTAAAATGTCACCCCAAGTGCTCATGTTAACACACGGGGCCTTTGGTAGATGATTAGATCATGAAGGCCATAACTTCTTCAGTGGATTAATTAATTGGTGGACTCATAATGTAGTGCTATTATTAGGAAGACGTGAAGGATTAGGAAGTATAGTCTGGTTCCATGGAGTGGGTCACAGAGGTATGATCTTGGTGCTTGTATCTTCTCTGTCTGTCTGTCTCTCTCTCTCTCTTTCTCTGTGTGTCTCTCTCTCTGTCTCTAGCTCTCTCTAGCTTGCTCTTTGTAGCTCTTTCTAGCTCTGTCTTTCTCTCTCTCTAGCTCTCCCTCTGTTCTTTTTCTCTTTCTCTCTAGCTCTCTCTTTC